CACCACCACACGGTCACACCGAGGCTACACGGTCAGATTCCACAGAATTACACCACATGGTCACACCGAGGTTACGTGGTCGGATTCCACCACACCGTCACGGCGGCTCGGGGCTGAATTACACCACCACACGGTCACACCGAGGTTATGTGGTCAGATTCCACAGAATTACACCACATGGTCACACCGAGGTTACGCAGCCGGATTCCACCACACGGTCACAGCGGCTCGGGGCTGAATTACACCACCACACGGTCACACCAAGGTTATGTGGTCAGATTCCACAGAATTACACCACATGGTCACACCGAGGTTACGCAGTCGGATTCCACCACATGATCACAGCGGCTCGGGGCTGAATTACACCACCACACGGTCACACCGAGGCTACGCGGTCAGATTCCACAGAATTACACCACATGGTCACACTGAGGTTACGTGGTCGGATTCCACCACACGGTCACAGCGGCTCGGGGCTGAATTACACCGCAGTCACACCGAGGTTATGCAGTTGGATTCCACCACATGATCACACCAAGGTTATACTGTCAGATTCCACCATGCTATCACAGCCCCACTGTGGTTACGTGGTTAGATTCCACCGCGCTATCACAGCCCCACTGTGGTTACGTGGTTAGATTCTACCACGCTATCATGGCTCTACCATGGTTACGTGGTCAGATTCCACCACGCTATCGCGGCTCTACCATGGTTACGTGGTCAGATTCCACCGCGCTATCGCGGTTCTACCATGGTTACGTGGTCAGATTCCACCACGCTATCGCGGCTCTACCATGGTTACGTGGTCAGATTCCACCGCGCTATCACAGCCCCACTGTGGTTACGTGGTCAGATTCCACCACGCTATCACAGCCCCACTGTGGTTACGTGGTCAGATTCCACCATGCTATCACAGCCCCACTGTGGTTACGTGGTCAGATTCCACCACGCTATCGTGGCTCTACCATGATTACGTGGTCAGATTCCACCACGCTATCGCGGCTCTACCATGATTACGTGGTCAGATTCCACCGCGCTATCGCGGTTCTACCATGGTTACGTGGGTAGGATTCCACCACGCTATCACAGCTCTACCATGGTTACGTGGGTAGGATTCCACCATGCTGGCCCCCAGGGCCTGCAGGGCAGGGGGCGGGGGGCTGGGACACGATGCATTCTGGCCGGACGCGAGCTGTGGCTCCTGCTCGGCTGGTGGTGGCTGATTTGTTCTGCTTCCTGCGGTGTCAACCTCAGGAGACACACTCCCAGCCGGGAGCCCCCGCCCCGGCTTCGGGGGGCAGCAGCCCGAGGCCGAGCCCCACCGAGAGCGGAAATGACAGGAGGAGATTGGAAGGAGACGCAGCCTCCTCCCCCCTCACAGCCCAGCGAGTTCAACCGGGACACGTTTCCATGGCAACCCTCACGGCTCTAATTCCGTCGCGAGTTAAAAATGATATCAAAGACTTGGGGAGATGGTGGCGGCCTGGCCGCGTCCCCTCTCCTCCCCGGGCCTCCGGGAGGAGCCGGAGGTCAGCGCCGGCCAGTCGGGCTGCCTGGCGGAGGCGGCAAGGGACCCAGGGCCATCCTAGGCTCCCAGGACGCCCGAAGCCGGGGCCAGCGGGAGGGCGGCAGCGGCTCCCCGAGAGGAGGGCCGGGGCCAGCGGGAGGGCGGCAGCGGCTCCCCGAGAGGAGGGCCGGGGCCAGCGGGAGGGCAGCGGCAGGCTCCCCGAGAGGAGGGCCGAGGTCAAGCCCCTCCTCCACTCGTGATTGAGATGTGTGCCTTGTCTGTGACCCGTTTTCCCCGTGTATGACATGAAGCCCCCACCCCAGCGACGCAGGAGGCGGAGATCCGGGGACCAGGGTTCAAGGTCAGCTAGGACAGGACCGTCCACAAGACTCCTATCACCAACGAACCACTAAAAAGCCAGAAGTGGAGCTGTGGCTCCAGTGGTAGAGCACCAGCGCGGAAACAGCTCGGGTGGCACCCAGGCTGCGTGTTCAGGCCCCGGGCCCGGCACACACGCACCCTGCCCCCCCCCAGCCCCAATCACCCTGAGGATGGGCCAAGAGCACGCCGGAAGGCGGGCCCACGCACGTGCCCGCGGGGTGGGGGGGCACAGGCCCTGGGCCTGGGGGTCCGAGACGCGGCCCGGGTTCCAGAGCCCAGAATCCTCCCCCGCGAGGCCAGAAGCCATCCGTGCTGCGTGGCCGGCGCCGCTGGGCCTCCCTGGACTTCTTGGTTGATGAATTCCTTCCCACCCCATGGGGAGGGACCACATGGCCAAAGTGTTCTGCTACTGATTCCTCACCCCGGGCCCCGGGTGCTGGAGCCCCGGCGCTGAGTCCCCCCGGGCCCCGGGTGCTGGGGCCCCGGCGCTGAGTCCCCCCGGGCCCTGGGTGCTGGGGCCCCGGCGCTGAGTCCCCCCGGGCCCCGGGTGCTGGGGCCCCGGTGCTGAGTCCCCCCGGGCCCCGGGTGCTGGGGCCCCGGCGCTGAGTCCCCCCGGGCCCCGGGCCCGCTCCTACCTGCCGCAATGGCCGTCCGCCGGTCCACGGTCACCGCCACAGCCGTGCTGGCCGTCACTGCCACTGGGTCCCCCGGACTCTCTGGGGAGATCACAGTAATGGGGTCACTGTCCCGAGTAGGGTCTCCTTAGCCCCCCTGCCTGGACCTCCGTCCTCAGTGTGGAATGGAGGGAGGGAGGAAGGGCGGGGGGGGGAGGGTCCTTCTCTTAGGGTTCCACATTGCTCTGTCTGAGCAGATTTGTCTGGTTTTTGGTGCCAGGACTGGGACTCGAACTCAGGGTCTGGGTGCTGTGCCTTAGTGTTTTCACTCAAGGCTGGTGCTCTCCTACTTGAACCACACCTGTCCTGCCTGGGCTGACTTTGAACCGGGAGCCGCAGATCTCAGCCTCCGATGCTGGGCTGTTCAGAGCTGGGCCTGGGTTTCGTGCCCCAGGACCCTTGGACTGCTGTGCTCAGCGTGGATGACCTGTCCGCCTGACCCTCAGGCCCAGCGCCCCGCTGCCCCGACCCCTCACACAGCGGCTGAGCTGCTGGGATCAGCTACGCGGCAGGCCTGCACCCCTTCCCACCGCCTCCCCCCTCGCTGCTGCCCTTCTGGAACTTTCTGCCAGGCTCCCCAAGGCAAGAGCACTGGCCTGGCCACCTTGTCTTTTTATTTTTTTTTTTAGGTCCGGTCATGGGGCCTGAACTCAGGGCCTGGGCGCTGTCCCTCAGCTCTTCAGCTCAAGGCTAGTGCTCTACCACTTGAGCCACAGCGCCACTTCCGGCTTTTTTGTTTTTGCTTATGTGGTACTGAGGAATCGAACCCAGGGCCTCAGGCATGCAAGGCAAGCGCTCTACCACTGAGCCACCTTCCCAGCCCCGCCACCTTGTCTTTTAAACGGGTCAGTGGTGGGTGCAGAATTTCGACCTCCACTCTCCACCCCACCCCAGCTCCGCCTGGACCCTTTGGGGCAGGGCAGCAATGGGTGTCAGAGGTCATGGTGTCAGAGGTCAGGGAGCAGACGCTGCCCACCCCCCACCCCCCAGTGCTGGAGGCCGAGGTGGATGGCTGTGTACCCCGAAATCTTAAAGTTCCTCCGCTCTACCGGTGTCTGCTACAGCTGGGGGAAGGGCTGCACAGGGCGTCAGCACCGGGCCCTGAGGTCACTCACACTTACACACTCACACTACACACACTATCACACACACAACAGACGATCACACACACTACACACAATCACACACACTCACACGCATACCACACACACTACACCCTCACAATCACACACACACCTACTACACACACAACACACAACCACACACACTATACACAATCACATACACTGCACACACAACCACACAATCACACTCACACACACTCTCACACACATACACACACACTACACCCTCACAAAACACACACACAACACACAATCACACACACTATACACAATCACACACACTGCACACACAACCACACTCACACACTCTCACACACATACTCACACTCACACACACTACACACAATCACACACACCACACACACTACACACTATCTCACACACTCACATACACATACAATCACACTAGCACACACATAATCACACACTACACACACAATCACACACATACTACATAAACACACTACACACAATCACACACTACAATCATATACTATCACACTACACACATTATCACACTACACACACAATCACACACACTATACACACTACACACACTACATACAATCACACACACTATCACACACTATTACACACACACCACACACACTACACACAATCACACACACTATACACAATCACACACAATCACACACACACTACACACACTCATACACACACTACACACTATCACACACACTCATACACACTATCACACACACATACTACACACACACAATCACACACACACACACACACCTGGCTCCCAGGCGCCCAGCCCAGAGCGCAGGGCACGGGTTACCTGGTCCTTCGGCCCAGTGGAGACTGTAGACAAAGCTGCCCGCGGGCTGCTCCGAGGCCAGGCGGTACCACAGGGGGAAGTGGTCGGCCGTGAACACGCTGGCCTCGTCCTGGGGCGTCAGGAACTTCCTGCGAGGGAGAGCGGTGTGAGAGCCGAGCTGCCCCACCCCACCGCCACCGCGGACGACCGAGGGGGACAGACAGACAGATGCATGGAAGGCAGGTACTCGGGTAAGTGCTTAGATAGGTAGACCTTTCATAGACACTTGGACGGGTAGACCAAGGGTAGAAGACAGATGCAGGATAGACAGACAGCAGATAACACTGACGAATATCTAGACGGACAGAAAGTAGATGTTGAGAGAGAAATATTGAGACAGGTGTTTAGTTAGATGTGCGGGTAGACAGGTGATAGGCAGACAGACAGGTGGACAATAAACCTGTGATGTGTGTTTAGATGGATAGGTGAGATGACAGATGGGTGTTCAGACAGACGGACAGGCGTTCAGACAGACAGCAGACACAGCGATAGACGGGGATTCCTGGGTAGACGGATATATTCAGAGCGACGCTTAGGTGGCGGTGGCTAGGCGGGTTGAACGATGGACAGGTAGGTAGATAAATGATAAGCCAAGACCTCACACCGAAAACGGGACCCCTCCTGCCCCAGCCGTGGCTGCAGCCTCCAATGCTGCCTCCATGGCCGGAAGAGTCTCCAGGCCCTGACCCTGAGGCCCTGACCCCGAGACCTGACCCCGAGGCCCTGACCCCGAGACCCTGACCCCGAGGCCCTGACCCCGAGGCCCTGACCCCGAGACCTGACCCTGAGGCCCTGACCCCGAGGCCCTGATCCCGAGACCCTGACCCCGAGGCCCTGACCCCGAGGCCCTGACCCCGAGACCTGACCCTGAGGCCCTGACCCCGAGGCCCTGACCCCGAGACCTGACCCCGAGGCCCTGACCCCGAGGCCCTGACCCCGAGACCCTGACCCCGAGACCTGACCCCGAGGCCCTGACCCCGAGGTTCTGACCCGGAGATCCTGACCTGGAGACCCTGACCCCGAGACCCTGACCCCGAGGCCCTGACCCTGAGGTTCTGACCCCGAGACCCTGACCCCGAGGCCCTGACCCCGAGGCCCTGACCCCGAGGCACTGACTCTGAAGCCCTGACCCAGAGAACTTGACCCTGAGGCCCCAACCCAGAGAACTTGACCCTGAGGCTCTGACCCTGAGGCCCTGACCCCGAGACCTGACCCCAAGGCCCTGACCCCGAGGTTCTGACCCTGAGGCCCTGACCCCGAGACCCTGACCCCAAGGCCCTGACCCCGAGGTTCTGACCCTGAGGCCCTGACCCCGAGGCCCTGACCCTGAGACCCTGACCCCGAGACCCTGACCCCAAGGCCCTGACCCCGAGGTCCTGACCCGGAGACCCTGACCCCGAGACCCTGACCCTGAGGCCCTAACCCCGAGGTCCTGACCCTGAGGCCCTGACCCAGAGAACTTGACCCAGAGGCCCCAACCTAGAGAACTTGACCCTGAGGCCCTGACCCCGAGACCCTGACCCTGAGGCCCTGACCCTGGGACCCTGACACTGAGACCCTGATCCTGAGACCCTGACCCTGAGACCCTGACCCTGAGGCCCTGATCCTGAGGCCCTGACCCTGAGACCCTGATCTGAGACCCTGATCCTGGGACCCTGACCCTGAGACCCTGACCCTGAGGCCCTGACCCTGAGACCCTGACCCTGGGACCCTGACCCTGGGACCCTGACCCTGAGGCCCTGACCCTGAGGCCCTGACCCTGGGACCCTGACCCGGAGGCCCTGACCCTGAGACCCTGATCTGAGACCCTGACCCTGAGGCCCTGACCCTGAGGCCCTGACCCTGGGACCCTGACCCTGGGACCCTGACCCGGAGGCCCTGACCCTGAGACCCTGATCTGAGACCCTGACCCTG